AGGGGGGCCCGCTCCCACTACCGCTCACCCTCATATGTGGACAGAAATAATCTTTTTGTGTGTGCCACGTTTAAAATTCTATCTCGTGTTGCCTATACATCCCGACCGCTGATAGTATGCTCCTCGTTCAAGAGAGGGAGAAGGGGGGGGGGTAGAGAGGAGGGTCCTCCTGCACGGCCGAACGCGGAACTGGTCCAGATTAGCCTTTTGTAAAAGCCTGCAACAGGATGGACTCATTTAGCGCTTTTGTTCCCCTTTAATGGACGCTGGTAGGAGGAGGACCGTACGCCGGCCATATATATAGTGCGGCCGAGCGCAGACCAACGGTCCGCCACTTGAATAACAAATCCTCGCGAACACCCATCAACATTATAATAAATTTAAGGGTCATCACCATAAGTGTGGATTCAGAGTTCACGAAACGCAAGCGTTATTTTCACGCCAGGCGTGATTTTCACGCTTCGGAAGCTTTACGCAGCCAATCAGGGATCGACTTTCATCACGCCGGGCGTGAAAATCACGCTTTGCATGAGAATCGCGCTCGCTTTTAGGGAACTCTAAATCCACCTCAACGATCTTAATCATGTACAGAATATTACACGGTTCACCCAATAGTGAGATCGTATTAACTTTAACTACACCCGGAAAAGATCAGTGTACCTAGTTAAGATCAGGGTACGAATTTATTGTTATGGAGTGTGATTTCATAACTTCCGACTTTATAACAATATTAACAAGTATTATTAAAAACAAACGAAAAAAAGTAACGCACAAAACTTACACCCTTGCAGACTGTCTAAAAAGGAGACAACTGAAAGTGACCGGGAGCGACCGGGAGCGACGTAGTGCACTTGATTGCGACTAGTGTGCTAGTGCGACTAGTCCTGGTGCGGCCAGAGTCCAAGAAGTTCGGCTAGATTCCGGCAGTCCGAGTGTGGCTAGATTCCTGGAGTCCTAGTGGTCCTAGTAGTGCGGCTAGATTCCTAGTACGGCTAGAGCAGCTAGAGTCCAGTGCGGCCAGAATCCTAGTGCTACGTGCGGCCAGAGTCCTAGTGCGGCTAGGGCCCCCGCCAGCGCGGTAGGCTCCCCACCACGCAGCGCTGTGCGGCGGCCCGAGCTCCTGCCCCCTGCACTGCGCCCGCTTACTCCCCGGCGCGCGCATCTCGGCCGACTGAGCTGCTAAAAATGTATTTTAGAGGTTTAGTGACACTGCATCTGATTTCCTTATCTTCATGAGGCTGCCGGGGCGAACCGGCGGCGACCAGACCCGTTTCAAACCGAGCGGGAGCGCGCGTCTCCTCCATGACTCCGCAGACTGGCTAAGCCCGCGCCTATTTGCGCGGCGGGCGCGGCGGGCGCGGCGGGCGCGTGCGCGAAGAGGTGCGGCGCTACCTCAACCTCAAATAGAGACGCGCGAGCGCGCGAGAGCAAAGCCTCTCTTGACGTAAGCTACGTTTGCAGAGTGTGGCGCCAGGGGCAAGGCGAGTTGTGAAACTCGCGCGAGCTTAAAATCCGACGCGGAACGCCGCGCACATGCAAACTCGATAGTTGTGTCGACTCACATGTGG